GGGGGGGGGTGGGGTGGGGCGTAGGTCCATGAGGGAGGTGATATAGTTATACATAGAGCTGATTCACTTTGTTGTACAGAAGAAAGTAAAGCAATTTTACTCCAGCAAAAAATATATATATTATAACAAATGATGCTCCCATTGCTCTTATCACTCAGGACATTCCAAGGGTTTGGGGAGCTGTTAGGCAGGAACTGTGGCCGGAACACCAAAATATATATTTATCATAAATCACAATATCATAGCGAACCATCCAAAGATCCCCCAAAAGCCCTCTAGATTAATGTTAATTAAGTGTCCAATCGGTATATATCAGAGCTAGCATCGTCACTCTAAATATGTATAAATTTATGACGTAGCAGAGTTGTGTGCTGCCCACTGTCATCAGAGCACCACATATAATCAATGACTGCTCTGTGGGGAGAAAGTAGCATAAAAAGCCTAAGGCTGCACCAGCAAACCTGCATTCTGGTTCCAACTTCTGCCCCCTCCCCCTCCAAAGCAGCTTTAGCTGAGATGTCAACCTTGACCTTGGTTTCTTTTCTACAAAATAAAAAGATGACCTCCAAAGCTCCTCCCAGCTTCAATATTCTATGATCTGAAGCATAATTTTGTGAGTTATGTGATTATAGAGAATAAGTTATCCTGTCTCTGCAATGAAGCTCTGATATATTTCATGCTAGATGTTTCATTGAGTAAGTAAGTAAGTCGAAAGCAAAGCATAGGGGAAATTTGAGCTGATTTTAAATCATCTGCTTTATAAATCAGTTTTCAGGAAGGCACTATGGCCACTGTTAAAGAGAACCAGAGCTGGACAGTATTTAAAGCAGTAAAAACAGATTTTAATCAGGAACCATTGCAATAGGGGAAAGGAGACCTCAGTATTGTACTGGGCTCAATTCCGGATATAACAAGGAAAAGTGGGGATTTATAGCCAAGGAGCGGCTTGCAGGGGTCAGGGGATGGAAATTACTAAGAGGAGATTTCACGGGAATCAGGGGATTCTTGCTAAACCGACCAGACAGGATTCTTGCTAAAGGCAGACCAGGGTGATCACATATCAAGGGTGGAGGATTCTCTCTAAACAAGATTCTTGCTAAAACTAAGTGATGCAGGCCCAACAAGGACAGACACAGAAGCCCAAGGTCAAAGCCTAGTTGAGAAGAGGGCTTAGAGGAGCCTGAGTAAAGTCTGGTGAAGGAGAGAGTCCCTGTCAACACCACCTGAGTTAGTATCTTGAGTGGCACTAAGGGATCAACCAAGAAGTTTACGGGCTAGAATGAAGCATTCCTATAAACGTTCTGGACACGTAGTAAGTATTCAGTAAGTACTTACTGATTTGATAATTGGTTAAATGTTCTGGCACTTCATGTCTTTTCTTGAAAATAAATGGATTCTGATTATGACTTAATACTGACGGGAAAAGTGGAACACAAGTGCCTATTAACCATGCCAATGATTTTAGAAAGCACTTTTCATTATTGTAAGTCTATCTGATTTCAATATGACCAAATTAAATAACAACTGTCTTTTTCTAATTCGAAAAGAAAAATTCTACATAAAACATAGAATATTTATGTGTAAGAACTTTACTATGAAATGGGAAAAATACAGAAAATATAAAATAGGAATTATAACTCTACCATTATTAGAATTTTGGTATATTCGTTCCAGGTATTTCTCTCTGCGTATATTCTAATTTTGTCAGAATCATGCTTAGGGTTAGAGCTGAGAACTTCCCACGTCATTTAATCTTCTGCTAAAATCATTTGTAATAAATGCTTAGTATTCCCCTACTGTTGGGACATTTCCAAGATTTCATTATTTCCGATTGCTATTAGGAATAACGAACACCTTTTATTATACATAAATCCCTGTCTATGTCTCTGATTATAACTTGGGATATGTTACTAGGTATATATCTTCTAGGACGAAGAATATAAATGTTTTTTAAGGCTACTGAAATGTATTACCAAATGGCTTTCCAGAATGACTCCACCAACAGTGTACTGGACTGCCCTAATCCCAAATCCAAGCCAGGATTAAGTATAATCTTGTGTTCAATATTCAGTACACACTATGAGAAAATATCTTGTCATTTTGCTTTATCCTGCATTTTTTATCATTAATGAGACTGAACATTGTTTCAGGCTAACTCATTTGTATTTTCTCTATAAATTATGTGGACGATAATTTACTTAAATTGACTTCTAAAACAATTGCACCTCAGCTATCTTAATCATACTGATGGCCACATTAGAGAGAAACAGAGCAGAGGAAAATTTTTATTTGAAAAAATAAATTCAATATGTAATTTGTTTTGAAATTTCAAACACGACTAGCGAAAGGTGAGAACTTTTCATGTTACTCAAAGCTGGAACATTGAATTTTTAAAAATTGAGAAGTATTGCTGCAGAGTTGGTAAATCATGGTTGCCTTGGAACTTCAGACTCTAGCTTCGATTTCCTCAAGGCCTCTAGACTCTTATGGCCTCAGCTGTGGCCAGATAACTACTCCCATGGAAGGGCTTTCAGACCTGTGTTCTGCTTTGTACTTTGAAGTGAGCATCTGTCATCATCCATCTCGGTGCTCTGCCAGGCTTCCTAAGAACAGGAACACAAGACTGATTTTTCTCTCACCCAAATTCCACATGCAAGTCACCATTTCCAAGGTAGCAAGAGAGGTCTTGCAGATGAGGAATGACTTGCTTCAGGGCACAAGCACATTTGCAGCCTTACTGACCAGCTCTCCCCTTGAGGAGTGGCTTCTGGGGAGCTTTAATTAACAAGCATCAAAGCTGAGGGGAGGGCCTCTGTGTACCATTGAAAATAATGACTTTATTAACCACTGCTTAAAACTGAACCCAGCTCTGCATGTTTTCAGCCTGGAGGGTCTTGGGCGAGAAAATACAAGTGATGGGGTGGTCTTACTCAAATATTTATAGTCCTAATGATACCAAGACTTATAATCCACGTGCCATGGGTACACAGCCCCAGAAAGACAGTATTCGGTTTCCCACCAAGAACTGATACCCAAATTTACTACTATTTCACTTACTCCCTCTGCTTTATGCGCATAACTTTTTCTATATATTTATTTCGTACTTGTTTTTTAAAAAATATTCTAGTTATTTATTTTTGTGTATAAAATGAAGATGCGGTCTTTGGACAGAGTTAAATGACACAGAGCCTACTATAAAAATCAGACCTCCACGACATTCACACCCTACGCAAACCCCAGAAGCAAATAACACCTAAAAACTGTCTGCCTTCATTCTACTTGGCTAGACGTTTGGTTTTCACTCAGTTCTCTTTCATGGCTCTGTTCTTGCAGGACATGGTATGTCAACTGTCCAGGCCTCAACTAGTACTAATAGTCAAAACAGGATAATTCAGGAGCTACGTCATTGGCACAGCTCAGCTAGTTAATCATAAGATAAATAAAAAATTTTCTTAACAAACACTTGGTGACACTGCCACTTTTTCCTTCAAAGACAGTTACCAATTCAAGAATGCCTAACTCCTGATTTATGCTTTAATAAAGCATCTGTGTTCTGTTAAAAAAAAAAAAACATATAAGAGAAAGTAAAATACCTATTTTAATTATTCTGCTGCCTCATGTTCACCTCCAGAATTCCAACTCCATCCAGAAAGTGGGTTTCTCAAAATAGTAGCTAAAATGGAGGTAAGTTAGAGCAGTATCACCTTTGGGTGGGTAAAGGTAGAAAGCAGAAGGCCTGGAAAGGAAGGAAGAATAGAGACTCACCAGCCTTTTGAAAGGAAAAACATGCTTTTCTGTTTATAGGTGGAATTAGTCTAGGTACAGAGAAGTGAGCATTTTCAGACATTGTTTTAAAATTTCTATGAGAAATGTTCACAATACACATCAAAAATTTAAGTGGGCATATCTTTCAGACAAGAAACCCTATTTGGAATTTTATTTTAAGGCAATAATAAGGAATCCATGCAAAGATAAAGCTATTTATATTAAATCAGGAGTTGGCTAAATTATGGTATGTCCATGAATTGCAATATTTTGTAGGCAGTTAAAATTATTATGAGGAACATTAAATGACCAGAAAACATGTTTCTATATCCTTAAGTAGAAATAAGTTTATGACACATTGTAAACAGTATAAGCATCATCAAATGTTTGTTTCAAAGTACAATACATACATATATATAGAAAAAGCCTGAAAATATACTTTTTGCTTTCATCCGTTATTTTCTGTAGTACTGTTTTGTTTTTTTTGTTTGTTTGTTTTGGTTTTTTTTTTACTGTATGCAGGCCTCTCACTGTTGTGGCCTCTCCCGCTGCGGAGCACAGGCTCCGGACGCACAGGCCCAGCCGCTCCGCGGCACGTGGGATCCTCCCGGACCGGGGCACGAACCCGCGTCCCCTGCATTGGCAGGCGGACCCTCAACCACCGCGCCACCTGGGAAACCCGAATGTTTTTTTTACTGTCCTACAAGGAACATGTATTATTTTGGTAATAAGAAAAATTCGGTCAATGTTATATTTTAAAAACACAAGGCTCACACTAGCAATGCGACTTTAAACTTAAAGGCGTAAAGAGTTCCTCTTTCTTCCCCTATTGTTTTGCTTCCCGAAGAGCAGTATCCAGGTCCTGCTCCGTTTCTGAGAAGGAAGCTCACCTACCTCCAGCTGGCCTCTGGGGGGCACAGCACCAATTGGGGCTGGAAGGACCACCAAGGACAGTCCAGGTCGCACCATACCCTGCGAGGAGTCTCTCTCGTCTCCCCAGTCCCCTTCCTCCTTGTCTTCCTTTCCAAAGAGTCCTCCTCTGAGGCTTTGTACGGACGCGCTTCATCAGGCCCTCCCTGTCTCTCTCGCACGCACATGCGCGCACTTCAAATGCACACGCGCGCATGCGTATGCGGTTCTCTGGGCCTTTGGAAACTCAGTGTGGAACAGAAGAGAGAGAACAGGAAGGGCCTGGGTGTTCATCCTACCTCTGTAATTTATTCCTGGCACCAGGCAAATCAGTGGGCTTCGCCAGACCCACGTTCCTGCCTTTGGAAAGTGGAGAGGGTGGAGCTGGTGTGGTGAAATTTAAAGACAGCAAAACACGGGACAGATATCCAAGAAGTTTTTTTTTTTTTTGCGGTACGCGGGCCTCTCCCTGTTGTGGCCTCTCCCGTTGCGGAGCACAGGCTCTGGACGCGCAGGTTCAGCGGCCATGGCTCACGGGCCCAGCCGTTCCGTGGCATATGGGATCTTTCTGGACCGGGGCACGAACCCGTGTCCCCTGCATGGACAGACAGACTCTCAACCACTGCGCCACCAGGGAAGCCGCAAAGAGATATTTTTAAAAGGCCCTTTCAGCAGAGGCTAAGAAAAGCACAAAGTATACATCTTATTTCCCCAACCGTAAAATAAGGGAAAATTAGTTCTACTAACGAGAATACTTTAACATATGCTTGAAGCAAACATAAAGGTCAAAAGAGAGAAAGCATTTAGGTGAAATAATATTGATTAGATTTTTTGCATTTTCTTCATGTAGTTTTGCTGGTGACTGGAATACACTCAAATAAAGAAATGACAAAGAAGATTAAAAGGCCCAAATTCAGTAAGTAAAGTTGCAGTTCCTCACTGGTACAAGACCTGTGTCTCCCATGTGGAGGACTGTTACACTTGTTTCAGATAATTTGGAAAGTTTGGGGTTTTTCTGTTTTGGGTTTTTTTTGTGTGTGTCTTATCTCAATACTTTGCACTCAGACTAATTAGTAATGATTCTTACTTGTCATCTACTTCATTCCAAAAAGCATTTGAAATAAGGGTTCTTATTTTAGGGTAGATACGTGGTTCTACTATATTAGAAAAATTCAAAATGCACATACAAAGACCAGGCGACACTATGTCTCTATGCCTAAGCTGGAGTAGGTATTTTTCTGCCATTCTGTCTCAATTCCCCATGCCAGAAAATTCAGTTTGGCTAATGCCAGAGTCCAGCAAACCTGCCCACCTTCCAGCGTACCCTGGAATCAATGGGTAATCTCACAGAAAAGTTTCACACCCAATCAGTGGAAAGAGGAATAATTAATTTCATTTTTGGGTGATAGTTAAGGTTAGATGACAGAAAAGCCAAAATAACAGTTGCTTAGATAAGACTGAAGTTTCTTTCTCTCTCCTGTAAACATAGTCTGGGCTTTTATGGGAGCTTCACAATCTTCAGGGACGCAGACTCCTTCTGTCTTGTCATTCTGCTTTTCTCAACGTGGCTCTCAACTCATTGTCCAGAATGGCTACCCCAACTCCATCCATCATGTCCACATTCCAATCAGTAGGAAGGGATGAAGAAAGGCACATACTTACTCCCTTTAAAGACAAGTCCAGGAAGTCAAATACACCACTTCTACTTAAATACCATTGGCCAGAATTCAGGGAGAATGGGAAATGTCTTGATGTCAAGCATCTGCATGCCTAGCTAAAAGTCAGAGAGAATGGATATTGGGAAAGAACTAGCAGGACAGGACATAAATGGAAAATCTCACACTCAAATCTTGTGAGCACACTGAGCTATCTGTATGTAAATTTGTAGACTTGATGGACGCTTGAATTAAGGTATATTTATGAAGGACCATAAGAAAAAGACTTTAGGTATATTCAGTGCTCTGTGCTGTCTACAAAGGGGACTTCTGTATAGGCATTAGATTTAGGTGCCTTAAATCAGCAACATTAAGATTTTGAAATAAAAGAAGAGATTTGTTTCACGCAGCATTTTTTTTCTTCTGTTCCTTTAAGCCCTTTGTGCAGGACTTCCTGTTGAAATGAGACCAAAAGGGCAGCCATCCACAGCCTCCTAGTCTGAAAAACTAAAAAGGAATCCATTTTTTATTTATTCCCGTCAGGAAGGAGAGCCAAGAGAATCAGGCCGGGGCAGATGTGTGTTCAAAACAGTGACTGGGTTAATATGGAGACAAATGCACACCCAAGTATGAAGTCCTTTGGTCTGTTTCCAGTATCTTCATTAACTCGTCTACAAAAATCATAAAAGGTTCCATGATTACCATGACAACAGTTTTCAGTGACTATGAAAGTCTGTGCTAAACGACCCAAGGGCAAACCTCTTTGAGAGATCTCAAATGGATTCAACTTCTAATATGCTAAATTCTAACCTTATTCTCAAAATCTCCCTAGTGATACAGCACTTTTGAATCAATGTATGCATGAGGCCTTTTCTCTAACTAGAAACTCTGTCATGGTCATTAAGTAAGGGGGAAAAAATATAAAATGAAAGTAATAGGATATTCCCAAACTATGGCGATACCTGATTCTTTACCTCAGGAGTATTTCCAGATTGTAATCTATACCTTGAGGCCAAAGTAATTTTCATTTTTTCTGTTCAACCTTGTCAATCTGCCACTGGGGCAGGTGACTGATAGCAAGGGAGGCACATCGTTCATTCACTTGACAAGTATTTATTGGGTGCTGGCCAAGTACCAGGTACAGTTAGACACCCAGATACAACAGCGATTGAGACTCAGACTGTGCCCTCACAGAACTCAAAATCTACAGAGGAAGAAAGACAAGTCACCAGGCAATTATGGTGTCTTATGTAAGTGCTAGGACTCGGGAGCTAAAGGTACTCCAAGAATATGGAGAAAAAAGCTATGTATCCGGGAGGGCTTCCTGGAGGAAGTGACACATCTTACACTGATATCTGAAGGCCTAATAGGGATTGACCAGGCAAAGCTGAGGGGAAAAGAGTGTTACAAGCAGAAAGAAAAAGCATGCCTAAGCCCTGAAGAAAAGAAAGAGCTAAAAAGTAGTTCCATATGACTGAGGTATAGAGTGGGAGGCACATGTGTTGAGATAGGAGATGGAGGGGTAAGCAGGCACCAGATCGTGAAGAGCTTTGTTACTGTGTCTAGGAATCTGCAGTTCATCAATGAGGGCAATGGGGAATATCTCAGTGCAGATTATTTAGGTGCAGTTAGCAGAAATCCAAGGCCAATTTGCTTAAGCAGAAAAGGAGATTTTGGCAGTACATGAGGTAGCTCACATGACATGAGGTGTCTCGCAGAACCCAAGGTGGGGAGAGCAGCTCGAACTCACTGGGACTGTACCCCAGGTGGAAAGATCTCAAGAATTGGTGTCTCTGCTTCTCTCTGCATGTCTGCCTCACTACCCACCCCCCGATCCCCTGGTTCATGCAGACCATGTCTCTCAGCCCTGATCCCAAATTCCTGGGAGAGAAACTCTTAACTGCATCAGCCTAGGCTGGGAGGGTGGTTTTCAGAGAAGAGTAGAATGGTTAGGGTTGTGTTAGGGAAGTAAAACAATCCTGACAACAAAACCCAACAAAAATCCCGCCAACAAAACCCAACAAAAATCCCTTTGTCCCAGCGTATGAAGAGAGAAGAGAGATACACAATATTATTAGTGAGTAAGCATTACAGATAGACATTCATATACAGGTAGGATGAAAGTATCTACCAAGTCTGGACAGAATTTCACACAAACTTATACAGTGAAGTCGAAGACAGAACAATTACAGCTTCTCTTAACTCCTGGAAAGATAAATACATGGACCTCCTGAGTGTCTTTTGCATACCTGGAGACCCCTAAACTCCTTCTGGAGATGAGTATCAATATTTGCGCATCCAAGGATCAGAAGTCTGGAGACCTTGCACTCTGCAGGTGATTCCGATGCCTGGTAAAATTTGAGAACCGCTGGACTAGACGTACCCAAGATCAGGGATGCTTACAGATGTGAATGTGAAATCATGGGTTCTCTTCAGTGCCCTCTGCCTCTTTCCTAGCCAGCCCTCAGTGTTCACCAGTGTTTATTCAGGACTAAAAGTCTTCAGCACCCAGAGGACTGAAGGTAAAATAACAAGGAGGAGGTCATTTTGAGAGTTTTGCCAAGAGGACAGTTCACTGACACCTACTACACACGTAGCACTACTTTCGGCCCTAGAGGATCTAGTGACCAGACATGGTACCATGAGTTGGCAGAGCCAGATTTGAAACTCAGGTCTCTGTGAGGCTCAACACCAGATGCTTTTCCAGTGCCTCCTCTCAAGCTAGCCATTTAGGAATTAAGTATCCATTGCCTAGAGGCAGATGAGGTGTTAAGATAATCAAGGGCTGACTGAATAGGAAGTAAAGTAGAAGAAATGTGGGAAAGTAGAAAAAAAGAGTAAATGCATGAGTGTCTTCCTTTGGCTTGGCCTGAGACCTTATGCCACACTAGTGCATCGATTCTGTCTATGCATATGGATACTGTTACTTTAGGTAACTGTCACTTTCTCTCCTCCCTACTTGCTCTGCTTTCTCGTTTTTTCTTCTCATCTCCTTTTCCTTCTTTCTATTTCTTTGGTCTACCCATGGCCCCCAGGGGCCCTTATGGACCTTGCTCAGCTCCACTGGAGGCCCTTTGGGCCAAAAAGGTAGTACATGTTGAAAATAATTTCGCATGGGGCTTTTACAAAAGGAAAAGCAAAGATGAAAAAAAAAAGATTGGGACTAGTTCTTAATGGCTCTACTCCTTCCCCATACATGACCATTCATTCCAAGCTAGTATTTTGTTCTCACGTACACGGTCGTATTGGGTACAATTTTATTCTGTCACTCGGCTTATCACAGCACCTTATTTTCTAAGTCAAATCAAGTCTGACTCCAGACTGCCAATTGCCTAGGGCTGAAATATTAAAATTCCATCATTACAAGGGCTTCCTCCCTCCCAGCTCCAGGCATTGGAAGCCTTATGCAATTTGCAACATTCAGAGAGAGCCCCTGCATTGCTCAGTGTCCAAGCACATGTTATTCCTAGAAGATGAGTAGCTCCATTGTTTCATGAATGGTGGGATCTTGGCAAATGTGGTGAAGCCCTATGCCGAAGGTTCTACCCAGAGGGGCACCACACCAGGTACTGTTCCAAAGTGATGTTCATCCAAGGCAGCTGCTAGGGAAAAGGGGCATTTCCCTTACTGGGACCTACCTGCCCACTTCCACCTTCCCAGTCTTGGAAGGTCATTTTCTCTCCATCACTCTTTGGGCTGACCAAGCCCAATCCCCTCAAACAAGGAGGCTTCCGAGCAACTAATTCCCAGAACCTTGAGGGAGAGTTGCCAGGCAACCCCTGCCCTCTCTCTTGCAACCTTGAGCTCCAGAGATAGGAGAACACAAAAGTCTGACTACCTTCTTAGAATAGTAAGGGGAAAAATACAATAACAATAAGCATAAGTTAATGTCTTAGTAAATTAACCTGCTGTATGGTGCAGGGTAAAGTTTACCATACTGTACAGAATGGGAGTTTTACCAAGTTTCTTTACAGATGTGACTTTTTCAAGGCTCTCATTTTCCTGCTATGTTTTGGAGCCATAGATCTGACCTTACCCACAGGCACCTCACTAATATATTTAGTCAGCTTAAACCTACTCAAGCAGTTTCTAACAAATGACCAAAATGTGGTTGCATTTTTCTTGACTGCTGAAGGCTACAAATAATGGTTGAAGGGTTTAGGTGTGTTCATAAAACACTTCTCCTAAGGCAGTCAAGATACCTTATAGATTTTAAGGATTAACTTCATTTATGTTAGATTCCACATTTGAAAACGGCCTA